CTATCTCTAACCCTAACAACACAGCAGGTACCCTATCCTCCCTAACCCTGAGATAGTAGGAATTGCCAATGCTGGAGAATCCGAGATAACAAGGTATAGAGCTGGATGAATACAGCAGGCCAGGCAGCATCAGAGGAGCAGGAAAGCTGACGTTTCGGGCTGGACCCTTCTTCAGACCCGAAACGTCAGCTTTCCTGCTCCTCTGATGCTGCCTGACCTGCTGTGTTCATCCAGATCTACGCCTCCCTAACGCTGACCCTATCCTCCCTAACCCTGACCCTATCCTCCCTAACCCTGACCCTAACCCTTTCCTTTGCGGATTGTGGCTGCGCACCACCACCTTCTCAAGGGTCAACTGGGGATAGTCAGCAAATTGCCTTGTAGGCACTACTCACGTCCAGTGAAAGAATTTTAGAAGTCGGTAAATAATGCAGAAAAATAATTGGTACTCACGGCTACAGCTTAGCATAGAAGGACACTTTTATGATGCACTTGTATTGGTCAAAATCATTTTAACAAGCAAACTCCAGGAGATGTGCAGTATTCAATCTGTCCCCTTTCATTTTGGAGATGTTCACATCCTATGGGTGTCTTTCTTTCAAACTGGAATGAGTCTAACCAACGTATTGGACAGAAACATTGAAGTCTGTAGGCTCATAGTGGACCGGAGATTTAGACCAAGAGCAGGTTGGGAAAATCATGAACCCTGTACTCATTCACTGCTTCTGTCATCGACCCCCAGAGGTTTCACAATGTGGTATGAGTTGGCGGGAGGTCTGTAGACCCTCCACAAGTTTCTCATTTCCACAGAATAAATAGATGGAACTGTGCAATATTCCTCAAAGCACTCGTAAAAACCATGGAGAAGGCATGTTGTGTGAATTAAAGTTGAAACTAGTCACCAAAAAATTTTGATTACTGCTTTTCATATTTGAATATCACAAAGAGTGCTTTGTATGAAAAGAAAACAGTAGACTTGCATTTATATGGCACTTTTCACAAACCACCAGCTGCCCTAATACTCTCTATAGCCAATGATATGCTTTAGAAGTCTAGTTACCATTGCTATGTAACAAACATAGCAACCCATTTGCACACAGTTGGGCTCCACAAATAATAAGATGGTAATTAAGCAGTGCATTCCAGGCACTCACCACCCTTTGTGTGAAAAACCTGCCTCACACATCTCTTTTAAACTTTCCCCCGCCTCGCACCTTGAACCTGTGTCCCCTAGTAATTGACCCCTCCAGCCTGGGTGTAAAAGCCTCATACTTTCCACTCTATCCATGCAATTCACAATCTTATAAACTTTTATCAGGTCGCCCCTCAACCTCCTGCATTCCAGTGAAAACAACCCAGTCTATCCAACCTTTCTTCATAGCTAAAATCCCCCATACCAGCCAACATCCTGACAAATAAATCTTTTCAGTAGCCTGTCCAAGGCATCCATATCCCTCTGGTAGTGTGGTGACAAGAACTGTATGCAATATTCCAAGTGTGGCCTAACTAAAGTTCTATAAAGCTTCAATATGCAGCTGCCTATCCTTATACTCAATGACCCTTCTAATGAAGGCAAGCATGCCATAAGCTGTTTTACTACCTTATCTTCCTGCACTGCCACCTTCAGTGATCTGTGGACCTGCACACTCAGAACCCTCTGCATATCAACACTCCTAAGGGATCTGCCGTTCACTGTATAGTTTCCACCTGTACTTGACCTTTCAAAATGCATCACCTCACATTTGTCCGGATTAAACTCCATCTGCCATTTTTCTGCCCATGCCTCCAACTGCTCTACATCCTGCTGTATCCTCTGACAATCCTCCTCACTATTCGCAACTCCACCAATCTTTGTATCATTCACAGACTTAGCGATTAGACAAGCTAAGTTTTCTCCAAATCATTTATGTAAATCACAAGAACAGCAGAGGTCCCAGACTGATCCCTGTGGAACACCCATTAGTCACAACCCTCCATTTCAACAAGCATCCTTCCACCGCTACACTCTGTCTTCTATCACTAAGCCAGTTCTGTAGTCATCTTGCCAGCTCATCCCTGATACCATGTGATTTCACCTTTTATACCAGTCTGTCATGGGGGACCTTGTCAAAGGCTTTACTGAAATCCAAGTGGACAACATCAACCGCTTTTCCCTCATCTTTGCCACCTCCTCAAAGTATTCATTTGGGACCTCACCTACCTCTTCTCGCTCCATACATAGATTCCCTCCTTTGATCTTGAATGGGCCAACCATTTTCCTGGCTTCTCTCTTGCTTTTTATATATGTATAAAAAGCCTTGGGATTCTCCTTAATCCTGTTTGCTAATGACATTTCATGACCCGTTTTAGCCTTTCTAATTCCTTGTTTAAGTTCTTTCCTACTTTCCTTATATACTTCAAGGGCTTCATCAGTTCCCACCCTCCTAGACCTTACATATGCTTCCTTAGAAAGATTCTTGATCAGTGGTGAATCAAGGGTTACGGGGATAGGACAGGCAAATGGGAAATGAGAAATGTCAGATCAACCTTGATCCTTTTGAATGTTGGAGCAGGCTCAAAGGGCTGAATGGTCTACTCCTGTTGCTATTTCTTATGGTTTTATTGACCAACACATCTAGAGATTCTGGAGAAGATACAAAATAAATTTGTAAAAAAATTGCAAGGTTATAATTCTCAAGAATGAACAGGATGAAAAGATAAAGCTGAGGAGTGACCTATAGGGGCTCAAAATCTTGGAACTTGCAGGGCAATGTAAAACTATGGACCATAAATATATATGAGTCACTAATAAACCCAGTAAGACATTCACCAGAAACCTCTTTACCCAGAGATTGGTTAGAATGAGGAACTTGATACTTGAAACAAATAGCTTAGATTGGTTTCAAGTTAAACCAGATATGTACACGAGGGAAAAACGAATAAAGGTTATGATGAATGGGTGAGATTAAGTACAGTGGAATGAGAACTGTTTGGAACATACGCAGTATCTCAGATAACAACTTAAACTTGTTGGGCCAAATGGCTTGTTCCCGTGCTGTAAAAAAAATTCTACCTCGCTCCTCCTTTAGGTTATTTGTAGAATTTGATAGAATACATTGCACAGAAACAGGCTATTCACCCAACTTGGCAGTGCTAGAGTTTATACTTCACACATCATATCTCCCATTCTATTTATTTCATCTCAACCATTCAGCATTACATTCCACCCGTTTCAGTCTTCTGCCTTATTTTTAACTGCAAAAGCATGTGTTTTAGTTGCAGATATTATTTTAGCAAAAATCTCAGTCACTAATGTAGCTTTCCAAGTCTACCACTTTGATGAAGTCTTTGAACATCTTCTCTAATATCTACTTTTGGGACTGGGTGTTAAATTTTGTTTGATAACATTATGTGAGGAAACACTTTGGAATTCTTTTTACATTAGAGCATTTGATGAGGATTGGAGGAAGCATGTTGCTGTAATTCTGTGAGCTACGCATTGAACCTTCAAAGATCTCGTATCATTCATCTAATTTGGGAGCTGAAGTATTTCTTTAGATTCAAGCAGTGCAAAGACTGCTTATTATGCTATTTTTGTGCTCATTGTGTATCCCAATGAAATAAACAACAATTGTGTTATTGTTGCCATGGTGACAGGCTTCAACTTAGCAGAAGTACCAATGTGTTCTTTATTTTACATTATTTGCACAGAGGATACAGACCTTTCTCCAACATTGTTAATAAGGTAAAAGAAAGTATCAGCATTCTATACTTGTGGGAGACAGTGACATAGCGGTAACGCAATAATCCAAGGACCAAGGCTAATGTTGTGGGGACATGAGTTTAAATTCCACCGTGGAATCTGACTTTAATTAATAAATCTGGAGTTGAAAGCTAGCCCAATGATGACCATGAAACCATCTCAAATGTTGTAAAAATCCATCTGCTCGACTAAGTCACTTTAGGGCAGGAATCTGCCTTCCTTACCTGGTCTGGTCTGGTCTACTCCAGACCCATAGCAATGCGGCTGACTTTTAACTGTCCTCTGAGACGGCCCTAACAAGCCACTCAGTCAATGGCAAATAGAGTTGGGTAGTAACTGTTGGTCTTGCAGATGATTCCATGAAAAAAATGATATAGCACCTTTCATGATGCTCAAACTCTTTACTGCTACTTTCAAAGTGTAGTTACTGCTGTAGTTGAGGAATCTTGTAGACCACTTAGGGATAGGCAATAAATGTTGGCCCTTCCCACAATGCCCATATTCAATATAGAAAAATTGCAACCTCCCACACTCCACAAGTGATAATGACCAGGTAAACTGGTTTTGTTGAGGTTCTGGAAATGATAAATATTGGTCAGAGCACTGGGAAGAACTTCCCGTTCTTCTTCAAAATAGTTATATGGAATTTCCTATGTTCAGCTGAGAGGGCAGGCAATTTAAAGTTTCATCTGAAAGGCTGCGCTCTGAAAGGTAGGGTCCAACCTCAAAACTCTGGAGTGCACCTTGAACCAAGAACCTTCTAATACCCAGAAGCGAGTGTGTTAGCCACTGAGGCACAGCCTGCCCTGCAGCATCTCTTTAAGTAGCATACAAAATCAATCAATTGACCCTGACTGACCTGGTCAGAAGAGCACAACCAAATCAAATATTAATCACATGCGTAACTTGTCGATTATGTTTTCCCAGCATTAAACTGCAGACTTTACCATCCCCTTCCACAACTCCACCAGTCATTGGCCAATCTGGATTGCGTATCATATTCCATTGTAACCAGCTTCTCATTTTACCTTTGCCTTCAACGTTGCGATGGTCATATACGGGAACACATTCATGGTGATGGATGTACCATGTGACTGTGAATCTTCAACCCCAACTTTTAATCTGCAATATAAGCAGCAGAAATTTGTTTATCTCACAAAAATATGCTGCAATTTTTCATCAGGCTTGCACTAAATTTTAACAGCAAAGATATCAATACAAGGGTGAGGGGCATTGTAAAGTTCAGGGTAAGTTGACAAGAAATATTTAGGAAGTTATTAATAGCCAGCATGGGTTCTCAACAGGAATTAGTGAAAGCTGCAGTGATGCAGTTCTAGATCCGTTTCTTTCATCCTTAGCTCTGCAGAGATCCTGTTCCACAGTCAAAGACCATCAGACAATCAATAGAAAACTAAAGGAAACTTATTCCTATCTGCTCACCCAGGAATGGTGAAAGGTATGGAGTATGGTGTAGATAATTTTGATTAACATGTTCAAAGGTGTTATGATACACCTCTGGATCAGATGGGAGTCAAACCTGGGCTTCTTGGCCATGAGGTAGAGACACTACCACTGCACCCTAACGGAATGTGGTCTGAGATTAGAAAAGATATGAGTTGTTCAGAGCCCCAAATCTGCAGAAGCAATACAGTTCAGAGAAACCTGTCTAAATACAAACTTAACTGGCAGAGAGGCCTGAGAGAAACCACCGAGTGATTCAGCGAGAGCACAATAAATCTATGATTTCGAGAATCAGAAATACTTACAACACAGATGAGGGCCCTTTGGCCCACTGTGCCCGGAATAACCCTTTTAAAGAGCAGAACGTTTTGTCCCACATGCCTTCATTTTGCCCACCATTTCCTCCACATTCCTCTTGCAATACACATCCAACTGTTTAATCATGATTTATTAAGGAGTCCACTCACCAAAGTTTTGACAGAGAAGCTCAGAATCATGAAAAGATGTCGTCATTAACTCTATCAAGCTCCAGAAGATTGTGTAACCAGAGTACCACATAATTTAAGGCGACTGGTAAACAAACCAAAGGCAACATGAGGAAATATTGTTGGAAATATTATTTTACATGGCAGGCTATTGGGAAGTGGAATGCCCTGACTGAGGGGACAGTGGAAGCAGGTTGAATAGCAACTTGCAAGAGAGAACTGGATGGATACTTGACAGGAAAATCAACCACAGGCCTATGAGGGAGGAGTGGTATTAATTGAACAATCCTATCAAGGAGCCAAAACAAGTCAGCCCTGTACCTTCTCTGGCATATCATTCTACAATCGTACTCCATATTTTTTCAGGAATATAGTAAATATTCTGAGAAGTCTTGTTGAACAAACTTACTTGATTTCATGTTGAGGAAAGGCAGCCTCCTTGATTTGGACAGTAACAGGGACACATTTCTCTGCCAGGATCTCAGCACACTGAATTGCTGTTGCCTTGTCTCCCAGTTCAATCGCTCTGCTCAGTTTCTGTGTAACAGCTTCCACTGTTGGAATAAGAAATGACAGAGGCCACCCGCATTGTTAAAACAGAGTGGGAAAGGTAGGAAAAGGCAAATAGAAGCTATCATTATCTAACCTTTGCTTGTCCTAACTCCAACCCCCTTTGGTCCATTGACCCTTTATGGCACTTAATTGCTCCTACCCTCTGTCCAACACAGACCTTCTCTGTTTTCTCTTTCCTCCATCCTACCCTATTTTCCTGTTTCTGTATTTGATTAAAATCTGTTAAATATCAAACATTTCCAGTACTATTGAATGGTTGTTGTACTGAAACAGCAACTCAATGTCTTTTCTCTGCAGGTGATGCCTAACTTGCTGAGCAGTGTTTCCAGCAATTTCTGCTGATTTTCTGGCTAATGCTCCTGTGAAGCACCTTGGGATGCTTAATCCTGTTTTAAAGGTGCCTTATAAATACATGTTGTTGTGACTCACATTTCCAGACTTCTTGGTATTTTGCTTTTGTCATTGCAGAAGCTTTCATCGTTGATGGTGATCAGGCGCTGATATTTTGTATTAAATATAATGAGCGATTCACTACGTCAAATAGTCAGACGTCCAAATGATATTGAGGGACACTTCGGTCTTCACCTTACGGGCAAGATTGGGTGTCATACCCATTATAGCACTGACACAATTTTTATCTCATTAATTGCAGTGGAGTCAATGTCCAGTGGGTTTTCTAATCGGTCAATGTGATTTGCCAGACAGGCAAAGATGAAGACGCACTCCATCTGGGACAAGTTTTGACAGAATACAGGGGCAGCACAGTGGCTCAGTGGTTAGCACTGCTGCTTCACAGCGCCAGGGACCCAGGTTCGATTCCACACTCAGGCAACTGTCTGTGTGGAGTTTGCACGTTCTCCCCGTGTCTGCGTGGGTTTCCTCCGGGTGGTTTGGTTTCCTCCCACAGTCCAAAGATGTGCAGGTTAGGTGGATTGGCCGTGCTAAATTGGCCATAGTATTCAGGGATGCCTAGATTAGGGGGATGGGTCTGGGTGGGATGCTCCGAGTGTCAGTGTGGACTTGTTGGGCCAAAGGACCTGTGCCCACACTGTAGGGATTCTATAAAAAATAAAAAGAAGTTGACAGTGCAATACAGATGTGTTGCTAAAGCTTTTCATTGTGCACTCATCAGGTCAAGTGCAAGAAAGCCAAATTTCAAACAATTTATATTACATGAGGAAAGACCAGATGAATACCTAGCCCACATGGACTGCAGGTCCAAGATGGCTTTACTACTACATTCAGGGGCAATTAGGGATGAGAAATAAATGCTGGTCTTGCCACATTCTGTAAAGGAATAAAAATCAATTGGTTAGCAAGCCAGCTCTGACTGGCGAAGACGTTGCTATGGAGAAAGCAACAGGGAACTGAAGGTTTCCGAAGTTTCCGGGTAATTCAAAAAGGAGCTAGGCTCGAACCTGTTCCTTTAGTTCACAGGAAGTCAGGGAACCTATGCGTCTCTACCCCCATGACAACTCTCGACAAATCAGAGTTGGCTTGCCAACCAATCAGCACTGATTTCTCGTGTATTACAAATTGTTGCAATTGTTTGGGATTTTTGTACTTGTCTGCATCTGTGCAAGATAAATGGCTTCAGCCACATGCCTCTCTTTTCACCAATATTCCTCCATGGGGTGCAGTGGACTTACCACACTCAAGTAGCTCATCAACTCGCTATCCTTTACAGCTGCAAGTGTTAATAAGAACATATGAACTAGGAGCAGGAGTAGGCCATCCGGCCCCTCGAGCCTGCCCCGCCATTTAATAAGATCATGGCTGATCTTTTTGAGACTCAGCTCCACTTACCCGCCCGCTCACCATAACCCTTAATTCCTTTACTGTTCAAAAATTTATCTAGCCTTGCCTTAAAAACATTCAGCGAGGTAGCTTCAACCGCTTCACTGGGCAGGGAATTCCACAGACAAGTGTTGGAAGGCTTTTTAAATTCTATAAAGGCAACAACTTGTGTTCCTATAGCGCCTTTAAACATCTCAAGGTGCTTCACAGGAGCGCCAACAAAATTTGACACTGAACCACATCAGGAGATACTGGGGCAAAAGCCTGATCAACCAGATGGAGTTTTAATGGGGACAGGAGGCGGGGCGGGGGGGAGCGGGGTGGTGTAGGTCGTGGGGTTGGGATAAGAAAGAGTTGGAGCTGGTTAGACAGGGTATTTCAGAGCTGAGAGCCTCGACAACTGAAAGCACACGCACCAATAGCACAGCAATTAATGTCAGGTATGGTCTAGATGATCAGAATTGCAGGAGCACTGATACTTTAGAGGGTTGTGGGGCTGGTGGAGATTACACAGAAACACAGCAAAAAGGCCACGGATGGTTTCAAAAACAAAGAAGAGAATCTTAAGATCGAGCTATTGTTTAACCATGAGCCAACATATATCGGCAATCGGCAAGATATTGATGAGGGTATCAGCAGCAGATAAGCTGAAGTGGGCTGTAGCCAGGAGATGTTAGAGGCATGGAAATAGGCAATCTTAGTGATAAAGTAAATGTAATTTTTGAAATATACAAATGACAAGTTGGCCACATGGTAAACAAATTTCAATGCAGAGAGATGTGAGGTAAAACATTGTGATAGAAGAGACATGGTAAGACAATACTGGCTCAATGGTACAACTTTGAGGAGAGTACAGGATCCGAGGGACCTCCAGGTTCATGTGCGCGAGTCTCTGAAGGTGGCCAGGCAAGTTCAAACAGTTGTTAACAAAGCCTTTAGCATCTTTGGGATTATCAATACAGGCGTAGAGTATAAAAGCAAGTGATGCTATCTCTACAAGTCATTGGTCAGCCTACATTTGGAGTATTGTATTCAGTTCTGGATACCTTATTTGAGGAAAGATGTTAAAGCTCTGGAGAGAATTCAAAAGAAATTTTCCAGAATGATAACAGTAATGAAGGATTTTAGATAAAAGGAAGGATTAGAGAGATTGGGTTTATTTTTCTTGGAGCAGAGAAGATTAAAAGGTGACCGAATTGAGGTGATCAAAATTTTGACTGGGGCTACCATAGTGTTAAATGTTTGGATGGTGAAGAATTTGTCAAATGTGTTCAAGAAAATTTCCTTTATCAATATATGGATGCTTCTACAAGAGAAGGAACAAAACTAGACCTTCTTTTGGGCAATAAGGCAGGGCAGGTGACTGAAGTAAAAGTGAGGGAACATTTTGGGTCTAGCGATCATAATTCTAACAGAAAGGGATAAGCCTTCCATAAAAGTAAAAGTTTTTAATTGGAGTAAGGTAAATTTTAATGGTACGAGATAAGAACTTTCAAAAGTTGATTGGAGTAGACTGTTCACAGGTAAAAGGACATCTGACAATTGGGGGGCATTTAAGAGTGTGGTGATGAGAGTTCAGAGGCATTTTGTTCCTGTTAGAGCGAAGCGTAAGGCTGGTCAGATTTAGGAACGATGGATGAATAAAGATATTGAGGTTCTAGTCAAGAATAAAAGAGAATCTTAATTTAGATACAGGCAATTTGGGTCAATTGAATCTCTTAATCAATATAAAGAGTGTAGGGGCATTCTTAAGAAAGAAATCAGGAAGGCAAAGAGGGGATATGAGATAGCATTGGCAGATAAGGTTAAGGATAATCCAAAGGGATTCTACAAATACATTAAAAGCAAGAGGATAACTAGAGACAAGGTTGTCTTTGTACTGAACACCAGGAGATGGGAGAGATACGAAATGAATATTTCGTATCAGTTTTTACTGTAGAGTCTAGAGATTACAGAGAAATAAACTTTGATGTTTTAAAAACAGTTCACATTACAGAAGAGGAAGTTCAGGAGGTCTTAAAGAATATAAAGATGGATAAATTTCCAGAACCTGATCTAATGTATCCCAAAACATTGTGGGAAGTAAGGGAGAAAATTGTGAGACCCCCTTGGAGAAATATTTGCACCATCTATAACTACGGGTGAGGTGCCAGATGACTGGAGGTTGGCTAACGTTGTACCTTTGTGTAAGAAAGGTTGTAAGGAGAAACCAGGGTAGTATAGACCTGCGAGTCTGACTGTGGTCATGGGTAAATTGTTGGAGGTGATTATAAAAGATAGGATTTATGGATATTTAGAGAGGCAAAAATTGATTAGAGATAGTTAGCATGATTTTGTTTAAGGAAAATAGTGTTTCACAAAATTGGTTGAGTTTTTGCAGGAAGTTACCAAAAAGATTGAAGATGGCAGTGCAGTAGATGTTGTTCATTTGGACTTTAATAAAGCCTTTGACAAGGTTCCGCATCATAGACTAATCTCTAAAGTTAGATTACATGGGATTCAGGGTGAGCTTGCCAATTGGATACATAACTGGCTGAATGGCAGGTGACAGGGAGTGGTGGTGGATTTTCGGATTGGAGACCTGTGACCAGCAGTGTTCCACAGGGATCGGTTCTGGATCCTCTTTTGTTTGTCATTTATATAGATGATTTGGATGAGAATATAGAAGGCATGGTTAGTAAGTTTGCGGATGACACCAAAATTGGTGGCATAGCAGACAGTGAAGAAGGTTTTCTAAGATTACAAAGGGATCTTGATCAAATGGGTCAATGGGCTGAAACGTGGCAGATAGAGTTCAATCTGGATAATTATGAGGTATTGCATTTTGGTCCAACAAACAATGGTAGTGCTTTTCAATTAATGGTACGGCCTTGGGTAGTGTTGTAGAACAGACAGACCCAGGGGTGTAGGTACTTAGTTCTTTGAAGTTTGCGTCACATATAGACAGGGTGGTTAAAAAGGCATTTGGCACGCTTGTCTTCATTGCTCAGTCCTTGTATAGGAGTATAGGAGTTGGGATGTTATGTTGAGGTTGTACAAGACATTGGTGAGGCCTCTTCTGGAATACTGTGTGCAGTTCTGGTTGCCCAGTTATAGGAAGGATATTAGCAAGCTGGAGAGGGTTCAGAAGATATCTACCAGGATGTTGTCGGGTATGGAAGGTTTGAGTTATAAAGAAAGGCTTGATAGGCTGGGACTTTTTTCACTGGAGCGTAGAAGGTTGAGAGGTGACCTGATGGAAGTTTATAAAATAATGAGAGGTATAGATAGAGTTCATGGTAGGTATCTTTCTCTAGGCTGCAGGATTTCAAGACTAGGGGGCACATTTTTAAGGTGAGAGGAGAGAGACTTAAAGATATGAGAGCAATTTTTTTTTTTTTTTTACACAGACGGTGATTCACATGTGGAATGACCTTTCTGAGGAAGTGGTGAATGCAGGTACAATTACAACGTTTAAAACACATTTGGGCAGATAGGTGAACAGGAAAGGTTTTGAGGGATATGGGCCGGGCTTACTTTAGAAAGAAGATCACATCACTCCCTCAGCCAGATTTCTATCGAGTTCATTGTTGATTACCTGAAAGGGAAGAATGTGAGGGGAAGCGGGAGAAGGTGAGAAAATGGCACAAAGTAAATTGGATATGCTGCATGGTCTCCTTCTGCACTGGAACAATTCTGTGATTCAGAAAACATTGATGCAATCAGTGATAGCGAGCTCATAGATGGCAAAGAAAGGAGAAATACATGGGAATGGGTGCGGAGTGGGAGTTAATAAGTGGTGGCTGAAATTAGTTTAGACAAGATAAATCTGGATTGTTACTTGTCAAGCAAGGCAGAAAATTAGGAAGCAGAGGAAATAAATGCAAACAGTTTAGCAGTGGAGGTAAACCCAGCGAACGAAAGAAAAGCAGGTGTAAAAGTTTGAAAATCATGACACTCTTTCCTTACAATGTTTAATTATTGACAGGCTCACTTTCGAAATGTGAGAAAACTTGCAATAAACAGGAACATCACCCAATGACTGCTCCATATGACACTTGGCAAAAGCTGGCCTTTGTCAGCCCTGACTCAGTCGTTGACACTCTTGTGTCTGGGTTGGAAGGTTGAGGGATCAAATCCCACTTCAGAGATCAGGGAGCAATACTTAGGTTTCTGGCAACATCGAACAATTGCTGTTTTTGATCCAGCTTTGTTACTATTTCAGCGTCAGGGGAGGTTAGCCCAGTCAGCTGGACAGCTGGTTTGTGAAGGAGGGTGATACCAAAAGAATGGGTTCAATTCCCACCCAGGCTGAGGTTACCGTTAAGGACTCTCCTTCTCAACATTCTCCTGAGGCACGGTGGCCCTCAGGTTAAACCACCACCAGTCGTCTCTCTCTAATGAGAAAGTAGCCCCACGCTCTTGTAGAACCATGGCGACTTTTAAAAACCATATTGCTTTTGGAAGTCTTATCATTTGGCTAAGGCATTAATTTGAAGTCCAGTCTGCTCTCTGAGTTGCAGTAAGAGATGCCATGGCAATATCTCCCCAGCCATCAATCAACATCGCCACAATAAATGATCACAGTGTTGATTATCTCACTTAAATAAAAGCAAACTCCTGCTGATGCTGGAAATCTGAAACAAACACTGGAGAAACTCAGCAGGTCTGGCAGCTTCTGTGGAGAGAGAGACAAGGTTAGCGCTTCGAGTTTCAAAACACTGAAGTTCTGAAGAATTGTTATACGGGACTTGAAATGTAAACTCTGTCTCTCCATGGATGCTGCCAGAACTTTTGAGTTTCTCCAGAATTCCCTGTGTTTGTCACTGATAATGTCACTTGTCTGCAAACTGGCTTCAGTGTTTCTACATTACAACCTCAAACTGTACTTCATTGGCTCTGAAGTGCTTTGAGAAGTGCAAAAGAAATCCAAGTTGTTTTCATGGAAGTTCTCGCTTCAGGTGAGATCCAAACACTTTACAAACCTGCTTCGGTAGATGGAAGAATGCTATGGTGACTGACACACTCGTGGGATCCATCACATACCTTTCATTGCTGAAGGAAGTTGGCAGGTTGAAAGCGTGACTTCCTGACTTTCATAGTAGCAGATGTAATTCAGTAAGGAATTCAGAATAAATTCCTGACAGAACACGTTGAGAATGTGAAGTTCACAATCCCATAACGTGGTTGAGGTCAATTCATGGATAGAATTAAGGGGAAGTGGTAAACACACGAGGGAGATGGGAACAGAAGGAAATACACACAGCGTTAGATGAAGAGGATGGGAGGGAGCTGGTGTAGAGCCAGTTGGATGAATGGCCTGTTTCTGTGCTATAAAGTCTATGCAATTGGCTATTAATGCAATGTGCAAATGTTCATCACTGTCAATGAAAGATATCGATTTTGAGAAACTGACCATTTTCCAGCGGGTCCATGTTCAGATTTTTTGAGGTCATCCTACTGGATGCTGCCATCTTTTCACCTCCGTAATTGTGTGGACAGGTCTCTAGGGATAAATGGAAAGAAAATACATTAATGACAAATCAAAGATAGAAACTGCGATTACAAGATGTAGAGCTGGATGAACACAGCAGGCCAAGCAGCATCAGAGGAGCAGGAAAGCTGACGTTTTGGGTCTGGACCCTTCTTCAGAAATGGGGGAGGGGAAGGGGGCTCTGACATAAAGAGAGAGAGGGGAAGGCGATGATAGAAGGTGGATAGAGGAGCAGATAGGTGGAGAGAGGATGGACAGGTCAAGGAGGCAGGCATGAAGCCAGTAAAGGGGAGTATAGGCAGGGAGTTGGGATGGGGCTTGGTCAGTGAGGAGGGAGGGGCGGATAGGTGGGAGGGCAGACGGACAGTCAAAGAGGTCAAAGACCCAAAACATCAGTTTTCCTGATCCTCTGATGCTGCCTGGCCTGCTGTGTTCATCCTGCTCCAACACCTTGTTATCTCAGACTCCAGCATCGGCAGTTCCTACTATCTCAAAGATAGAAACTGGGGCTTCTGTTAAAGTGTGTACATGTGTGTTTTTCCACTGAAGATTACACTAGCATTTCAACAACTGAGCTTCATGGTGCACATTAAACAAAGTCCAACTGTTCAGGTGGACATTACCATAGGTCTTCCACCAACAACATCAAATAAATTACTGTTATTCAAGTCATTGGCATTTGTGGGATTGTCAGTTGAAGTGAAAGTGACTTACTTTCAAGGTAACAGTTGATCGAGTATGATATCAAAGAACAATAGCAAAATTAGAGTTAAGGGGAAGCAGAAAACAACTTTCTGTTGGTTGGAGTCATGCCCGGCGTGCAAGAAGCTGATGGTAGTTGTTGGAGGTCAGTCATCTCAACTGCAGGAGTTCCTCAAGGTAGCGTCTTTGGCCCAATCATCTTCAGCAGCTTCATAAATGCCCTTCCCTCTGTCGTAAGGTCAGAAGTGGGAATATTTGCCGATGATTGAACAATGTACAGCACCATTCCAAATGCAGCAAGATCTGGACAATATCCAGGCTTGGGCTGAAAAGTGGCAAATAACATTTGTGCCAGACAAATGCCAAGCAATGATCATCTCCAATAAGATGGAATCTAACCACCACCCCTTGATGGCATTACCTTTGCTGAATCCCACACTATCAACTTCTGGGTGTTACCACTGACCAGAAACTGAACTGGACTAGCCACATAAACACAGTGGCTACAAGAGCAGACCAGAAGCCAGGAATACTGCAGTGAGTAACTCACCTCCTGACTCCCCAAAGCCTGCCCACCATTTACAAGGCACAAGTTAGGACTGTGATGAGATACTCCCCACTTGCCTGGAATGGTGCAGTTCCAACAACACTCAAGAAACTTGAAACCATCTAGGACAAAGCAATCTGTTTGATTGGCACAACATCCACAAACATCCACTCCCTCCACGACCAACGCCCAGTAGCATCAGTGTGTACTATTGATGAGATGGATTGCAGAAATTCACCAAAGATTCTTAGACAGCATCCTCCAAACCCATGACCACTTCCATCTAGAAGGAAAAGGGCAGCAAATACACCATCTCCTGTAAGTTCCCCTCCAAGCCACTCACCATCCTGACTTGGAAATATATCACCGTTCCTTCAGGGATACTGGGTCAAAATCCTGGAATTCCCTCCCTAATGGCATTGTGGATCTACCGACAGCACGTGGACTGCAGTGGTTCAAGAAGACAGCTCACCACCCGGAAAAAAATTCTGGCTCAGCCAGCAACACCCACATCCCAGTAGTGAGTTAAAACAAAGTAGGTTGTGGATATTGGTTGAGAATCATTCATGACTAAGGTCCACAGAGTTTTGTCGGGTTTAACAGTAAGGAACATTGAGTAAGGAAGCACCTGAAGTGCAAAGCAGCCATGACCTAAATGAATGCTGGATTATTAGAATCATAGAATCCCTACAGTTTGGGATCAGGCCATTTGGCCCATCGTGTCCACACAGACCCTCCGAAGTGCATCCCACCCAGACTCAGCCCCCTACCCTATAACCCTGCATTTCATATGGCTAACCCACCTAGCCTGCACACTGTGGACAATTTAGCATGGCCAATCCACCTAAGCTGCACATCTTTGGACTGTGGGAAGAAATCAGAGCACCCAGATGAAATCCACACAGACACAGGGAGAACGTGCAAACTTCTCCCAGTCACCCAAGGCTGGAATCAAACCCGGCTCTCTAGCGCTGTGAGGCGCCACCGTGCTGCCAGTCAAAACCACTGACTGCCTGGTTCCTGCTCCTCTGTTTCTCGTACCTGGATCTTTCGTTCAAAATCAGTGGGTTAAATATGATCCCCAGGATACAAAAATTGAAGAGAACATCTGTAGTGATGATCATGAACCTGCTGTAAACAGTTTCTGAACTGAAGCAGAAATATAAAAACTGTTGATAAATAGTAAAGACATTTCAATAAGTATGTACTGCTGCCTGGCAAAATAATGCAATAAGTTTCAGAGATGTGGGAAATTTAGATTGCAAATTTGCTGGGCTTTACTTTTTAACAAGAAGACTTCACAGTTTATATTTTCCACAACAAATACTGCCACTAATGAAGCAGAACAAATTATTTAATTACCAAAATGTGTTCTGAACATGTCATGTTACGCTTTAAAAACCCTCAAAACACCAGGAGCTGAAAACCATTTGTTATCTTTTCCTTCTTCCCTCCCTCTCCACACATAAAACGATAGAACAGGTCTCAGAAACAGAAAATTTATCCCTAAGTAAGTTAAAGAAGAGTTGAGCACATACCTCACACTGTATATTTTCCGAAGGCACTGAAGGATTGACAATACATCTTATCCTAGGGATTAGGGAGTGATACACTGTCAAAAACAGGCAGGCACAATCATTCACATTTTAAAGAAAAAGTGAAACAACTCAGTGACAGGAAGTAGGAAGTCGCTTGTTGCAAAAGATTGAGGTTTATAGTAGGTCACAGAAATGCCTGATTAAAATAAAGGCATTAAGTGATTCAACATGTGTTAGCAAGTGAGCTGCCTTGTCTAGAACTATTTCTTAATCAATACACGTTAATGGGCTGTATTTTCATTTATCATACGAATGATTTGAGTATGCTTATTTGAATTTAAGTTAAAATCACAAATTATCACCATTAGGTGCAATGTTGTTTTTATCCCTCAGCTGATTTGACTCCTCATTGAAGGCAACATTGAAGGTAACATTGTATCAGAGATAGTAGGAACTGCAGATGCTGGAGAATCTGAGATAACAAGGTGTAGAGCTGGATGAACACAGCAGGCCAAACAGCATCAGAGGAGCAGGAAGGCTGATGTTTCGGGCCTAGACCCTTCATCAGAAAATTTAACATTGGGCAGGTTTCAAAACAGGCATATAATACCCAATATCATGGGACTCATGCCTACTGAGTTATGATTAAATTGTCTCTAATGTTCACATCGAGTCATAGAGCACAGAAACAGACCCTTCAGTCCAACCTATCCATGCTGACCAAGTTTCCCAAACTACAGTAATCCCACTTACCTGTATTTGGCCTATATCCCTCTAAACTTTTCCTATTCATGTACCTGCCCAAATGTCCTCAAAGTGTTGTAACTGTACCTGCACCTACCACTTCCTCTGGCAATTCATTCCATATATGAACCACCCTCTGTGTGAAAAGTTACCCCATAGGTTCCTCCTAAATCTTTCTCTTCTCACCTTAAAAATATGCCCCTAGTTTTGAACTCCCCCCATCCTAGGGAAAAGACCTTTACTATTCACCTTATCTATGCCCCTCATGATTTTATAAACCTCTTTAAGGTCACCCCTGAACCTCCTATGCTCCTGTGAAAAAGGTCCCAGCCTATCCAGGATCTCCCTAAAACTCAAATCCTGCAGTCCCACCAACATCCTGGTAAATCTTTCCTGAACCCGCTCCAATTTAATAATATCCTTCTTATAGCGCAGCAGCCAGAACTGTATGACGTACTCCATATGTGGTCTCAATAACATTCTGTACAATTTTAACATGCCATCCCAACTCCTATACTCAGTGTTCTGAGCAATGAAGGCTTGCGTGCTAAACATCTTCTTCACCACCCTGTCTACCTGTGACAGAACTTTTAAAGAACTATGCACCCGAACCCCTCAGTCTCTCTGTTCAACAATACTACCCAGGGCCAAACCATTATCTGTATAAGTCCTGTCCTCGTTTGCTTTATCAAAATGCAATAACTCACATTAAACTTCATCTGCCACTCCTCAACCCATTGGCCCAATTGATCAAGATCCCTTCGTAATCTTAGATAACCTTCTTCACTGTCCACTATACCACCAACATTGGCGTCATTTGTAAACTTACTAACCATGTCTCCTAAAAGGGACATTCAGCGTGGCTCTGTGTGGGAAATTGTGTCTCACAAATTTGATTGAGTGTTTTGAAGACGTAACCAAAAAAATTGATAAGGGCAGAGCGGTAGATGTTGTCTAGATGGATGTTATTAAAGCTTTCAACAAGGATCTGCATGGTAGACTGATTAGTAAAGTTAGATGACATAGAATTCAGGGAGAGCTTGTCAATTAGATGCAAAATTGGCTTGAAGTTTTTGAATGACTCACATTAGGAAGCTTGTGTTTTGTTCAAATAAAAACCTTGTACATATTCAAAGGGCCCCTATAACCATGGAAGCAAGGCAACTTGGTTTGACACACATTAACAAGAGATGCAACTAACTCTTTGGAGGCAGGAGTTTGAGAGACTTATATTGTGTTAAAACTGATGTGTGACAGCACTGATTTCGTATTAAGGTTAAGAGAAAATTTTTTGAGGTGTCTGAAATTAACTAAGGCTTTAAGAAGAGACTAAGTTGCAAAGCCAATATTATACAATTAAACTCTGATGTCTGGCTTAAATGGAGTTTAATGCGGAAAAGTGTGAGGTGATTCACTTTGGAAGGAGTAACAGGAATACAGAGTACTGGGCTAATGGTAAGATTCTTGGTAGTGTGGATGAGCAGAGAGATCTCCATGTCCATGTGCATAGATCCCTGAAAGTTGCCACCCAGGTTGATAGGGTTGTTAAGAAGGCATACGGTGTGGTAGGTTTTATTGGTAGAGGGATTGAGTTTCGGAGCCATGAGGTCATGTTGCAGCTGTACAAAACTATGGTGCGGCTGCACTTGGAGTATTGCGTACAGTTCTGGTCGCCGCATTATAGGAAGGCTGTGGAAGCATTGGAAAGGGTGCAAAGGAGATTTACCAGGATGTTGCCTGGTATGGAGGGAAGGTCTTATGAGGAAAGGCTGAGGGACTTGAGGATGTTTTCATTCGAGAGAAGAACGTTAAGACGTGACTTAATAGAGACATAGAAGGTGATCAGAGGATTAGATAGGGTGGACAGTGGGAGCCTTTTTCCTCGGATGGTGGTGGCTAGCACGAGGGGACATAGCTTTAAATTGAGGGGTGATCGATATAGGACAGATGTCAGAGGTAGGTTCTTTACTCAGAGAGTAGTAAGGGCGTGGAATGCCCTGCCTGCAAAAGTAGTAGACTCGCCAACTTTAAGGGCATTTAAATGGTCATTGGATAAACATATGGATGATAATGGAATAGTTTAGGTTAGATGGGCTTCAGATTGGTTTCACAGGTCGACGCAACATCGAGGGCCGAAGGGCCTGTACAGCGCTGTAATGTTCTATGTTCTATGTTCTGGTGGGATTGTCCAGTTTGGACAGAAACCTCAACATAAAGGTCAATTGCAAGGACATACTCCACACTGTGTTCAACCTGTCACCTTCTGTCTTGTTTGCCTGGATTGGCCAATTAGTGGCTCCTTTATGTGCACCCTGCCTTTCAGAGTGTTCAGCTTGTTATTTAAACAGCGATAGGTTGGGAACTGTTGATGTCCAAAACGACCCAAGAGTCCTTGTACACTAATCAATGAAAACAAGCATATAGGTGCAACAAGCAGTTAGGAAGGCAAATGGTTTGTTGGCCTTCATTGCAACAGGGTCTGAGTACAGGAGCAAGGAGGTCTTACTGCAACTGCAGGGCACACAGTGACTCAGTGGTTAGTGCTGCTGCCTCATAGTGCCAGAGACCTGGGTTCGATTCCACTCCTCAGGCGATTGTGTGGAGTTTGCATGTTCTCCTCGAGTCTGCACGGATTTCCTCCAGTTGCTACGGTTTCCTCCCACAATCCAAAGATGTGCAAGTTAGGTGGATTGACCATGCTAAATTGCCCAGAGTGTCCAGGGATTTGCAGGCTAGGTGGATTAGCCATGAGAAATGTGGGATTACAGAAGTAGAGTAGGGGGTGTGGGTCTGGATGGAATGCTTTTCTGAGGGTGGGTGTTTACTCAATGGGCTGAAGGGCCTGCTTCCGCACTGTAGGGATTCTATGATTCTATGTACAGGGCCTTGGTGAGACCACACCTGGAGTATTGTGTGCAGTATTGCACGGATGATGTTTATCCCTGGCTTTGAGGTCTAGAACAAGGGGGGGAGGGGGTGCGGTCACAGTCTCAAAGACTGCAGTGAGCGATTTCAGACTGAGTTGGGGAGAAGTCTTTTCACTCAGAGTGATCCTGTGGAATTCTCTACCACAGAAGGCTGGGGAGGCCAGATCACTGAACATATTTAAGAAAGAAAGACATTACTAGAGGCTAAAGGTGTCAAGGAGAGCGCGTGAATATGGCATTGAAATAGAGGATCAGCTCTGGTGGTGCAGTGGTCCCAACACCTGAGCCAGGAGGCCCTGATTCAAGTGTGACCTGCTCCAGAGATGTGTAATAATTCCTTGAACAGGTTGATTAAAATATCAACCCTAGTTGGAGTATTGTGTACAGTTGTGACCCACATTATAGGAAAGCTGCAAATTCATTGGAGAGGGAGCAGAAGTGAACTACAAGAAATAGTTCCAGAGACGAGAAACTTCAGTGATGAGGATAGATTGAAGAAGTTGGGATTGTTTTCCTTGGAGAGAAGATGGCTAACAGGATATTTGATGGAAGCTTTCCAAATCATGCGTGGGCTACGCAGAGTAGATAGAGAAAAGATGTCCTCAATTGTAAAAGAGAAAAGATTGCGAGGGCATGGACTTAAAGTGATGTGCAGATGAAACAAGGGTGACGTGACAAGGGTGACATGAGAAGTAATCTTTTCACACGGCATGTAATTAGGATCTGGAATGCAGTGACTGGAAATTTGGTAATTGAACTATTCAAGAGGGGCGTTGGAAAGTTATTTGGATAGGAATTGGAGTGCAGTGATACGGGGAAAGAGCAGGAGATTGGCACTAGGTAATAAAACTTGGATAGGTACAATGGGCTGAATGGCCTCCTTCCCCATTGTAACAATTCTGTGAGGATCATGTTGAATGACAGAACGGGCTCAATGGGACAAATTGCCACTCATGCTCTTGTGCCAGGTAATGGAGAAAGAGTAGGCTTCCACCATAAGGTGCTCCAACATCACTGTGAAGTATAAAATGGCCCCAGATGTTGGACTATCACTGGAGAGGGAGGACCATTTCACAGGACTACCTGCAGCCATGTCTGTTTCCAAGGACTCATGGGGTAAGGGTTGGGGATAAAGGGTTGGTCAGTGGTGGGTATCAGAAGGCGGTGGTGGTTACAGAAGGCCCCAATAATGTCTGTCTGGAACATTGGCCTTCCTCTGCAGAGACAGTGGCATTTATTCAGTGCTACACCTGCACAGCAAACGCGTTAGGAATTCACTGTGAGAGCAAGCCCTTAGTATACTGCGACAGTAAAGCAAAGTATTGCAGATGCTGGAAATCTGAAACAAAGACAGAAAGTCCTGGAGAAACTCAGCAGGCGTGGCAGCATCTGTGGGGAGAGAAACAGAGTTAACAATTTGGGTCCAATGACCATTCCTTATAATATACTGCGTTGAGTTCTGTTTTAA